CAATAGAGATCAAAATAAAGGGCCAAATTTAATCGATTCCTCTATTCCTTCTAATGGATGGATGCAAACGGAGAGTGTATTCACCTTCAAATTTAAAATTGAGATTGGAAAGAGCAACACTAGATTCTAATAAGTTGCTCGCTCTGATGTCTGATTCAAATGTGAAGAGTTAATATCAAAAGTTTTAGTGAACGATTGTTGAAAAGTTGTGCCAGGCCATACTCGCTTGCGGAGAATTTCCGGTCTTTAAAGTTTTGACGGGAGCAGCCCGTCTTATTGTTAGAACCCGAGATAAGAAATGTTTCAGTTTTGTAGTAAGCAGATCAGAGATATAATACAACAGGATAATGTAGCATTGAATTTGAATGTACTACCACCTCCTTTTTTTGTCTACGAAAGATCTTGCAAATTCCTTTTAACTGCAGCAACTGAGGCATTTGCGTACGACCGTACCAGAGCTGAAAGCTACATATTTTCTGTACCCTACGCCTGCAAGCGGAAACTCGAAGCTCATTACACAGCTTGATTAATAGCAAACTGAATTGTTATGTTTAATAGAACGAAGGTTATGCAACAAAGCAGATTTTGAATCAACACAGAAGAAGTCAGTGCTTATTTTTTAATTCACTTATATATCAGTGGTTATGAATATTATCAACTTTTGGGTGTTATTTGCTGACCGCTGCATCTCTGCATCTTCCTCGTTTGCGTTTAGTATCCAACATATCACTACTTTGACTTATCCAGGGTTGACAGTTCCTTTAAAAAAAGTTTTTGGTCAAGCACTTAATTTGATTTCATGCTTTATTTTGTATGGAAGATTGTAACATTCTGGAGCTTCTCTCTGGTAATGAGTTGGGCAGTGAGTAGTTTAACAAATGTCATCCTATTACAGCTCAAATATTATCCAATCAATAATTATCATATAATTCCCCCAAGGCAAGTAAATAATGCAATTAAATCAAATACTCCGCATAATTCTGGCTATATAATGGTTAAATGTTATAACATATTACTTGAAATGTTTGAAAGCTAAGAAGAAATACCGAAATACAACGGTCGTATTTGAGCTAAACTGTGGATTTAACAACCTGATTCATTTCTTCCTCTATTTTTCGTCTTAAGCAGTCCAGGGGCGTCGTTTCTCTCCTCAGATTGTCTTTCGCCGTTGTGGAGAACCTTATCGGGTGAGCACTAACACTTCTCAATTCCATTCCATCATCAATGCAGAATAACATACGCTCTATGTGATTGAATCGTCTCGTTGAAGTGCTGACCCTTCAGAAAATCCCTAGATTATATGCTTATAGCCGCCGGAAGGCAATTAACATCCAAGTGTCATCGACAAGCAAAACATTTAGCTTTTGCTTACGGTATTCAATATGTGCATAATGTCAGGGAATCATCGCAGGTCTAGAGAAATGAACTGGCATTTAGAAGAAGTTCCTAAGCTAAGCTCTGTTTATGAGGAAGTTCATAATTACGAGTATACAGGTTGACCAACTTCTTCTAATGCTTAATTCTACTAAGGAGAGTATCCCACCGAATTACATAACATAAACTTTAGCCGGTTGAGATTGCCATAGTTAGTAAACTGCAGGCATCCGTCTAGGTCTTTGCTGACACATTACTATTTCCAAGTATGGCCAAAATTTAGTGCACATGGCGTGCCTACAACCCGCAATACCTAGACTATTGCCCCTAATTTGTATACTCGAATTACATGTACAGTTATTAATTAATGCAGAATACCCCTAGAGGATATGTCCAAGAAATTATTGTTGTGATGTTTATCCCTAAAGAAGTGCGCGTTTTGGCATTTTTCAAATCTGACTTCTTAAGTGCTATCATAATTTACTGACTTTCGACAACTAAGAATTATCGAAAAGAAATTTCAATATAGCCAAACAATATTGCTATAAATTAAATTACTATTCATCACACTTTACCAATCAGCTGCTATTATTCATTCTAATTAAAACATCAGCAATTTAGCAGCGCAGTTCCAAATGAGGCACTTTTAAGGTTATCATAATGTCAGTAGTGGCTCTTGTGATAGAAAAGATTGCGCAGAGTATCCCTATAGGTCAAATCTAAAACATTTGGCAACATTATCTGGCCTTGGAGCTCTTAAGTATTCAAAAGAAAATAATATGGCACATTAACTTGAAAAATGTGAAAATTTTA